TCATTTTTAAAGCAAGAAGTGCACAATTTACGAGCATATAAGAATAAAAAAATACTGAGCTTGAGCTCACTGAGCCGTGTAACAGAGCGAGTATATTTATATGCTTTTGGTGCTGGGCGATTGCAACCAAAAAGAGAGATGCACAGCTACATGTTATAGCAGTCCTACATCCAAAATTTCAACGTTCTAAGGCTACTCGTTTTTGAATTATGAGAGATACATACATACGTCATGAAAAAATCTCTCTCTTCTGAATCCATTTTAAATCCTTTTTGCGACCCATTTTGGGAAGACGAGTCCTTAATTTTGTCCTTACGTACAGATGTCAAGCAAAAACACCGTTAATTTGCATTCGATAGCGGTTAAAATGGATATTTTCGTTGAAATATGACACCCGAAAATTTTCGCGATTACAATGCTTCCTTTACTTCTTACAAGTGAGCTTGAAATAAAGTGAACCTGTGAGTGCCTTAATTCTTGTACATGTCACTAGAATTTATGGGCAAATTTAATTTAATTGTTAGAAAGAAATGTTTGATGTGGCTGAAAACTCGGGAAAAAATTCATATATGTATTTGAATTCGTACTGAATATCGGCATTACAACATTCTACCAAAATAATGTTTCAAAAGACATAGGTAACTTTTAAACTTCGTTAGTATACAGAAAATGTAGTGAAATACATCAGCTTTAAAAGTATGCATAATTCTGTCTCAGTGCAGCATTCATTTTAAAGAAATTTTCTATTCGTTTTGAAGAGTCTCTGTCATTACAAACTAACCTTTTTGTTATAAGTTCTATATTAAATCTAAGTTCATCCATAAAATTTAAAAAATATATCCACAAATTAACATTCATCATGAAGAAATGCAGCGTGCAGACGGGACTCGGATTTCTTCTTTAGGCTCGCAAGTAGCCGGAGCGGTTAAAAAACAATGGTAGTTTCGGCTGCAGCTCCTTTAGAAGAGTGAGTTATTCCTATTTCCTTTAAGATGAAAAAGCATCTTTTCATTTTTTAATTGGTTATAATTCTTCCTTTTCTGAACACTGTAAAGTTTGAATTATTATTCACAAGAATCTTGTAGAACTGCGCTTGTAGAAAATTAGAATCAGAAAAACTGAAAAAAGTGCCTAATACCCGCAGGAAAAATGCAAAAACCTGTAAGATATAATCATCATGCGGGGACATCAGTTTTCTTATTATAATTTTGAAGTAATAAGGCAGTTACTTGACTTCTTTATTTCACATGACAACAACGACTCCATTATAATTTTTCTTTTTATGATATTGAAGGATTTCTTATTTTCTTAGAAGCAAAAAAGGAGAAATGATAACAATGAGAAGATAATTCCAGAATGGATTAAGCATAATTTAATTCGCAATAATAAAAGAAGACGTTACTTTGTTATTGCGAAGTTTAATTTCTCTAGATTGGCAACAAATCCACTATTCTGCTGAATTTCAATTCAAAATGTGAACAAATATGGCTGTTGTTCCCCCCCCCCAAAAAAAAAATTACGCTGCCCCTCACTTAAACAACTTTTGAATTGTTGATAATTCTAGAATTACTATAACACGCAGGTTAATTAAAGGCGTAAAAAAACCTTAACCGGAAGATTAAAAAAAAAAAATAAATAATAATAATGATTTTTTTAAAGCAAAAAATGCACAATTTACAAACATATAAGAATAAAGAAACAGCTCACCGACCCGAGTAACAGAGTGGATGTATATATACAAATATATATATATATATAGGTATATTTACATACCTTTTGATGCGGCCGATTGCAACCAAAATGGGAGGTGCACATCTACATGTTATAGCAGTCCAAATATACAAAATTTCAAAGCTCTGATTCTTCTTATTCTACACGTTTTTGACTTATGTTTTGACTACACATACGTACAGACGCCAAGAAAATTTTTTACAGAATCCATTTTAAATCAGTTTTATAATTTTTTTTGCAAAAAGAAAAAAAAAAAAAAAATGCTCGAGGAAAATTAAGTTTTAAAAATGTAATATGATAAAAAATGTGTAAATATAAAATTATGATTTAAACTAGCAATAGCTCCTTAACGCTTAATTTTAATTGGAGTATTTGCTTCTCTATTCTAAAAATAGTACAGTATAAAGTCTTTAATCCGGACCTCAAAGCTACAAACTTTCTGCACATGTGTAAACGCATAATGCGTTTATGCATGCTCGTTTAATGTATATCGGACGGTATAAGCTAGGCTAAACTTATCTAATTATCTATTTCAGTTAATGTTGCAGATTGCGTTGTTCCTTAATTTTCTAATTGGATCCGGCTTATTATTTTTTGCAGACTGTTAGAGCAATTTTATAAAAAGTCTGTTAGAGCAATTTTATAAAAAGTAAGCTTGAACTTTCGATTATGTCAAAAAGAGTTTCCAATTCTGGAGCTGCCGAAGAATCTACAAAGCGAAAGCATGTTTCGATGTCCATTAAACAAAAAGTGGAATTGCTGAAAAAAATGGATAAAGGCATGAAGAAAGTGACAGAGAGGTGATTTTTTTCTCTAATCATTCCGCTGTTTATCAATTTCAGGCTGCTCTGCGGGGGTGGGGGAACGTCGCGGCGCGAAATGAACTGGAAGTTGATCTGTCAGCACTATCCTCATCTTCACAGCAGATGTTTTTATTTTATTCGGCTTATAAATCCTTACTAGATGTAGTGTTTCATCTCGATGTACTCATGATTTAAATCAATTTCCTCGTCATTATAAATATCACGAATACACATCAAATAGTTTTCTGGTGGCAATTTTCTAATTTCGACTATGCGTAATGTTTGCTTTACGCATGCGCGCGTTGGAAAAAATGCTTAATAAAATAAAAAAAATAAATATTAGGCTTTTTTTTTTTTGTAAATTTTGATACCCTTTAGATCATAATTGCTCTTTATTTCATAAATTACGGTTTCATATTTTTAATTGTATAATTTCTGCATGCCATCTTTATCCAGATATAAATTGGTGATCTATAATCCGGAAAAACCCCTAATCCGGAATTGCTGAAGTCCCGACGAGTCCGGATTAAAGACTTTGTACTGTAATACCCTTTTCTGCACTGTGTCATTTTAAGACTAATCCATGTCGTACGACTTTTACATAACGCTAGTGACATAAATGGAAATAAAACTCAAACAGTCAATAATAATGTTACAGCGTTATTAATTATCCATTCAAATGCACCGAAACTACTCATTCGGAACTAAGATTAAATCTTGTATTTTGCAACACAAAGCATTTTGCTTCTACGTCTGTTGCTGCAAAGACTACTGCTTGCTGTTTTCCCTTCTTCTGCAAAAACAGTATAAAAAATGTAACTGTTCTGGAACAGGCACGATTAATAAATATGCCAAGTATTTGTGGTCACAGACATCAGTTGAAATAAAAAGGAATATTTAATCAGCCTTGGCGTTTGCTGTTCATTATGGATCAGCATCTCAGTATCTACGCAATCAACTTTCCTACATAATTATAGCTCAGTCCAGAACAGTATTACATACATATATAAATTAATTAAATAACAGGCAAAGTTTTGGAATTATAAATTATGAATGAAAGCAATAATTATTGAATAAAACAATAAAATAGTTGCAAATTTAACAATTTACTTTTTCATATATATATATAAATTCACTGTTATTTTCTGCTCTCGGACTGCGCATTCGGCCGCGTGCAATTTGAGTTTGAGACCACTGCTCTAACGTATTTTATTTTTGCTTTTCGGAAGGAATATGTTACACAGATTGAACTTTACACTTTTCATCTATCTGTCTGTTTATACACATTTTTCTCGCCTCGTCTCAAAAGGGCTGGACAGTTTGCCATGTATACAGGACCGCGCTGTTTGAAGCGAAAAAGTACTATGTAAGCACGGCTCTGTATATGCATGTTCTTTTTTTTTTTTTTTTTTTTTTTTTTTTTAATCAATAACCTAACATGGCACTTTTTCCTTTTTGGATGATGGTTATTTTTGATATTATAAGCCATCTTTTCTTAGACGTTGTATCTGAAATTTTCCCAATATATATATTAAATGGTGAGAAAAATTATGGTGAATCTGAAGAGATTTAAAATATAAGCTCATTGAAAAAAGAAGCTTCCCCTGTCCCTCCCAAAGAAAAATAAATCTATTAGAAACTGGAAACTAAATCTCTCATATGACAATGTGCAATAACCGTTTGGTTTTTAAGTGATAATACATTAAACTTATTCAAACCAGATTTTAATTTATAAATATAGTTGTTGACCTTTCCTTCTGAAAATAATGCTTCTTTTCTTAATTCAAATAAGACTTTTAAATCTTTAAAATCATAAGGAAGTATTCAGGTGAAAGCAAACCATTTTCATTCTTATCGGCGATTTCATATTAAGCAGTTATACGTTTTCGTAATATAAAAAAAATTGCTCAGATTTGAATAATTTAAGAAAATATTATTCTAATATTGTTTCTGCATTGAAAACTCGACATCGACATTTAAATCAATCTTTTTATATAACATTTAGATTAAGTTTTATTCTTCTTGAGTCTTTTGAAAAGTTATTTTCTCTATTCTAAATTGTTTTCTCATAGTGTTCTCGAGGTTTCTGAATTAAAATAAATTATTTTGTTTTATTCATTTTGTTCAGAGAAATAATGAAAATAACCTTCCTAATGATTTTTTAAGTTTGAAGACGCTGTTGTACACCTACATTAACGCATTGCTGTGAAAATAATAAAAATATATTTCTTTTTTATTATACTTAGATTTGTACTGTGCCATAAATACACCTGTGAGCAAATTTTCACTTTGAGTCTCTAAGTTATTTCTTCATGGTGCGATCATCATTCGTTCTTTTCCTGATCATTTTCTTGATTTGGTTTCTCTTTTTTCTCCTCTTCTTGTTTTTCTTTTTTCTCCTCTTCTGATTTTTCTTTTTTCTCCTCTTCTTGTTTTTCTTTTTTCTCCTCTTCTTGCTTTTCTTTTTTCTCCTCTTCTTGCTTTTCTTTTTCTTGATCGTGTTTTTCCTTTTCCTGATCTTCCGCTAAAAATAATAATAATAAATTATTTGATGTGAAATGGTTAAGAAAATGTAACTGAACTTAAAAAGGAACTTAATAATAAGTGACTGCATGAATAAGAATTATTAGTTATTAATAATAAGTGAATAAGAATTTACTTTTCTCTCAGTATCAAAATACATGAAAAATAATAAAATATTATGTCTCCGCATTACGATCCTCTTTATTCGGAAGAATGTTTCATCCATGCTGTTTACTGCTGCTAAGACTTCAGGTCTTCATTAATTAATTTATCATATAGTCTTCAAGTTAATTTTAAAAATTGGGAGTTTTTCATCTTGAAATCAAAATATAACGTACTCTGCACTCTTGTGGTATACTGTCATCTGAAACGGACTATATCTCTAAAAGATAGCTCCAGGAGATAAATATTTTCCATTTCTGTATGTAATGGTGTTTGGATCGTTAAACCAGGACATGCTATACTTTGTACAATGTAATGAGGTTTTTGAACTGTACGAAAATATTCATTAATTCAGTTATGGTGTTTCAAAGGATGTGAGATGAATGTTTTCTCTCATCCTTTCTGATTTTTCAAAATTTCAAAAACGCTTTCAAATCTTAAAAGTATCTCAAGTAAAACTATAGAGAACCCATTTTTGGTTCAGCTAGTGTTTCCCCCGAAATTTTAATTACTTAGAAAGTTCTGTGTGGACTAGTATATCTTTAAAAGGCAACATGAGAAAATATTTTTCTGTTCTACATGCATTAGAACATTTTGTTACGAATAGAATACGTTCGTTAATAGTTTTGGTACTAACAGAATGTGTTGGTTATTAGAATTCTTGTGGTCGTCACAGGAATTTAACAATATATATTTCCTTACTAAATAAGATATAATAACATGTACAATATAAATGTAACGTAGGATTAACATGAAATTTTATCATTAATGTTTGAAAGGATTTTCGAATCGACTGATTTTAAGTACCCACATTTTTCAAATACAGTATAGTTACGCAAAGCAAAATAATATTCATGGTTGTAATATTTAGCCACTTTAAACTGCTAAAAAAGTTTAAAATATTGCAACAACCAAGCTACTAGTCCCATTTTTAGATGGCGATTTTATTCAATAAATTAAAGGTGGCACAGAGGAGCCAATTATTGAAACATCTGTGGGCTGCGAAAGCAATAAATAGTGAAAAGAAAGGATCAACTCATACTGTGTGGAGTAAGCTTGGCGAAGCTCTAAACGTATTTGGAGTTCTTAATAAGCTTAAAAATCCCCGAAATACTGGATATGTAATTCATTTTCATATTCTGTGCGATGAAAGGTTTTATTTATTTATTTTTTAGGAAACTGCGTGTATGAAACAGTTGTACATTTTGAACTATATCGGAAAAGCTTTAACGCAAAAATAATGTAATTAACTCCGAAATGTAAATTCATCAAGAATTAAAAGATCTGAAAGCTTAAATAAACGACCAAAGGGTCGTTTATTTAACGTTTCGTGTGTTACTTTTATTCAACGTTTTGTGTGTTTTTTTTATTCATTAAATATCATGTTCCTCGTACTCAAACCATGAAATTCAATTCAACGGCAATATCGCAAAATAATTTAAAAAGAGCATATCTTGAGAGTTTCTGATACACAGTCTTGCGCGCTGGAGATAAAAATGCTTTTACTTTTTTTTTTTTTTTTTCTTTCTCGTACAGTGTTGTCATTGCTCGCTTTGAAATCATTGAGTTTGTTAATAAAAATTTCGTTAAAGTCTTACAAAATATGAAATAGATAATAAAACAAATTCCAGATTCCAAATTTGGGCTTCCAAATGCCAATATTCGAGTGGAGGACAACGTTATTCAGAAGTTGATGTCTCTATGTACCGTTGTTTTTTCACAGTGCGATAATCATATATACACATGCATGCAGGTCGTTCATTATTTAATTTCTTTAAATATAATGCAGGGCTCTAAATATTTGGTGGCAATAATTTGAAAAGTAAAACGCCGTTTATAGTGAACCAACGCAAAATGCCAAAATGAAATTAACAGCCCTTCTGGGCAAATTGTCCCTTTGGGCTAATAAATTATGTATATTCTGTGATATATTTTCCGGTACGTTTACGGTCACATGTGTAAATTTACTGTAGGTGTAACAGGTCAAAATGTTTAAAATATGTTTAAAAATGTTTTAAATGTTTACAATATGCTTACAAGATCATTTCTGCTGCATTATACAAATGTAATCTGATAATAAGCATCACTACAAATTCTGAGCGTGCCGATTATCAGATTTTACATGTGACGAAGTGGATCTGAGGAATGGATTATTCGTCATTCATTTGATTATGAACAAGGCCTAAATATTGATGGTCTAAAAATTCATGAAAATGGCCGTAAAATGCACTTAAAATGGAAAAAATGCCATTAAAAAATTAAAAATAAGCCCCCCTCAAATAAAATATAATAATATACAAAAGACACAATTTACGGACACTGACAAATGGATTAAAATTCAAACACTTTGACACGCCTGTCGGTTTAATTTTATTTTTTCTTCCAAATTTTAAATATTACACAAATGTATTACATTTGCATTAAATTATTAAGTGCTTCTTGATGTTTTTGGAAGTGAAAAATCTTCTGTTATCGGTGCAGAAGTTTTTATATCGTGAGAAGCTTTTCTGCAGTTATTGGAACATACTCTAAAAAATAAATAAATAAAATGTAAATTTAAAAAAAATGCATCACCTGCTGTTAACTCTTCTTCAGTTTCAAAAGATGAGGTTCAGATGTCTAGATGAGGAACATTTCCCGCATGGTTTGTAAAAAACATATTTTAGTCAAAATAGTGTTGAATTTAGCAGATGCAGCATCTGAAACTTTGGCTTTTAAAATTTATCAATGTATTTATTGCCTCGACATGTTCTATATTTTGTGCCTGTAGTAATTTGATAGTTGAAATTAGGATTCTGAAATCCTGATGCGCGTAAGATTTCCTTTAATTCTGTCTATGGAGAAAACATTCTGTGCAATCTGAATCGAAGCTGTTGCATCAAAACTATTCACAATTAACTTTTTCAGAGTTTGAGAATTTTCACTGTAGTATATGCATGAATTGAGCCATGTTCGCCATTGTATTACAAGTCATTGTATTACGAGCTTTCGATAAAAATCCCTTGATTTTCATGCTTTAATCATTATGTTCTTATATTGCAGCATCGCTTGAAAACAGCAACACATCATTGTGTCACATACTATTTGGCCATAAAGTGCTTAGTGATTTTCGAACAACTCACAAAGTAAAGATTGTTGTTTAGTATGAAGGCTTTTTTAGCTGCTCTTGACTTCGTAATGTTTTGTGATGTCGGATCCCGATGATTTTTCCTCATTACCTGATATGAATGCCGGCCTCTCACCTTGGGCTGCTGTTGATAACAGAATGGATTTAGTTGTGATAAAGTGAATTCAGTTGAACTGACGGAAGACATTTTAGCTCTGGATAATATATTTAAGTGTGACCAAGTAAATAATCTGAATTTTGAGCTTAGCATAGCTAGTAATGAAATTTCAATACTTAGGACATTTTTGGATGTGCTTAAAGATCTTTTTAAGCGCATATAAAAGTGTTTGCTGAAATTAGGGAAACGACCTGTAACCGAACCTGATAGTTAATGAGACTGAAATGAAAATACAAGAACTTGAAGTGAAAAAATTTTATAGCGAGCATCTCTAATAGCAAAAATTCTTAGTGCTATTCATTCTGGTAATTGTGATGGAATGTTGCTAAACCCAAAAGTTTCGCATGTAGTGCGGTGACTAAGACGGAAGCATTAGGTTCTGGTCCCGAGCATGGCTTTAAAAAGGCCTTCTAAAATTGTTAAAGCAATTAATTATCATAAGTTCCATGAAAAATTTTCTGTTAGTAATACGTTTAATCATGTTGAAGGATGATGTTACTAGTTTACTTGATGTGCGTAGTAATGAGAATATTAATGTTTTTAGTAATAATGATTGTTCTGGTAATGTAAATACTAATGTTAATGATAATAGTGTTATTAATGTACATAGTAATGTGAATGGTAGTGAGAGTAATAATTCTAATAATGCACCCCAGACTACAGGCAATGTGCAACAGCAGGTTCCTAGAAATTTTGAAACAAGTAGTATTCTCACAATTATGGTTAGGAAAAACCAACCTCAAAGGAATAAACCTTTATTGATTAAGAGATTAACGGTCTAATTACCGGATTCTGAATTTCTATGTAGTGCAAGCGGAAAGTTTCTTAGATCTCAGGCCCTCCTGATGAGAAAAAATTTTTAAGCAAAATTTTTATGGAGAACGAAATTGGTAATTTTGTTGTAAATCCTAAATAAATATAAGAAGCAAATGAAAAGACGGTTTCCCTCAAATATGGACAGGAATACAATTCGTGCAGCAATGAGATTGTAATATACACAGAGTAGTACAATGTACACATAGTGTGTTCGTGCTGCGTTTCTTATATTAGCAACTACTGATAAAATCTATTTTATTTTTATTTTATTACTTTATAGTAATTCTTTAAGTATTTTATTTCGACCTTAAGTTATATTTGTCAGCAAAACGAATAGAAAAAAAAATTAAATACTCCATGTCTGGATTTTCTCATATTATATTCTACAGCTAATTAATGTCCTTATTGTTTCAACTTTTTTTTAAATAACTAACAGTTATCCGCTCGTCCTTAATAGAAAGCACACTAATTTTACATTTGGATACCGTAATTACGAATAAGTCAACTCCCAATTAAGCAGGCTCTATCTAATACAAAAAAAAATCAAGTTTGTTTACTGGAGTAAATAATGGAAAAATTACTATCCCCAAACTATAAGAGTTAAAAAAAAGAATCCATAAACATTGTACAATGAAAAACTAAACACTGACTTTTATACTGTAGTCTGGCCTCAATCACATTGTTATAAATATTCAGTACCATATATAACTGAATTTTTTCATTTCTAATAACGTTTATTCTTCAGTTATTTACACTGCGTTCCTTTTGATTTTATTTCTGATTTAGTATACATAATGAAATGAGCTAACACTTCCAATTAAACTCTTTAAAAATGCAGATAAATTGTTGATAATGTTTTTCTGTTAATTAGAGTATGGGTTATTCTCTTTTACTGTTTTTTTTTTTTTTTTTTTTTTTTTTTTAAATTACCGTTGGATTAACCATGATTTTTGAGTTGACAGCTAACTTTGTCTCGTATCTCCCTGGTTAAATGGGAACTGATTGTAATATGCTGATAAGACAGACAAGTATGGTTACCATTGAATGAAGCATACAATAAAAGAAAAAATTTGGAATAAGAGATGAGGAAATAAGACAGGATAAGTATATAAAGGAATACTAATTACCAGGAATTTTAGAGATCCAAAAATAAAGTTAACAATAGGAAAAAAGATTTCAATATTTCGAAGAATTTCGGCAACTAGACTCGGCGAATTTTCGCCGAAACGTAGCCGACGTTTGTGCAAGCACGCTTTAACAAATTCGCATAATCGATTATTTGGATACTTGAGGTACAGCAATTGATATATGCTAGCGTGTAATAGATGATTTAAAGTTAGATAAAAACAAGATTGCTAAGATATCTCACCTTTCTCGATGCATTTTGGTATGAAGTCCGGAGTCCATTTGCCTTGTGGGTCACATTTGTACTCCTCTGCAGGAGAAGTCTCAAATTCATGTGATGGGGTACATTTAATGCGGCACACACTTTCATTCTTCTTGTGAGTGCAGACCCATCTGATCCTAGTTTTCCCTGCAAGCTTCCGAATATCACAATTCAAAAAATCTGGGGAGAAAATAAAATAAACAAACTGTAAAATATTTTTTCTCTATGGCTTCTCAGTTTCAGAAAAGCTAATATAGCTACAATTATACGAAAAATAAAGAGAAAAAATAAGCAACTCATATTCGTGAATATAGTGTATACACCACAAATATAATACAGTGTAATAATATATTGTGTATAGTGTAAACACAGATGGAAACAAAAATTCCTTTATTTTTTTCATGCCTGTTTTCTGTAAGACTCAGGTTGTAATACTGAATACTTAATATTTCATATTAATTATTGTTACTAAGCTTGAATTAGAGCTGTTCTTGAATGTAGAATTAAATATTTGTATATGCTTAAATATAAATGCATAAGAGCCTGAAAATCACAGTAATAGTTAGAGAAGTTGAACAGTGATGTTGTACAGTTCAACAATAACGAAGAGAATTAATTTCCTAAAACCGAAAGATTATTGGCAGGAAAGCATTTTATTTGCGAAAGATGGAATTATCTGAGCTTGCGTACTGTGTCACCAAATGCGACTTTTCTGGATTTCCGAACGTTTTGCAAGAGGCTGTAAATGCTGAGAGGAAATTATGTTCAAGTTACGTAAATTACGTTTGCAGAAGGAATACCGTATTGGCCTGAATTTGACATGTAAGATGAGTTTGCATTTTTTGAAGCAGTTTTATAAGGAAATAAAAGTTCTTGTCTACATACACACAGTTTCACATACACAACTTTCGTTTCCTTTTAAAATAAAGCAACAAATGACAATTATTTTAAGGTTAGAAGTGTTGAGAAAGTATTTCGAAAGATAATCTTTTAGATGCTCCGCAACACATGAAGGACAACCTGGAGATGTATACATCTGTGTGTATAGTACGATTGAAAGCATACAGATCCACTGTATACATAGTTCTTGTATGTAAATACACAACTATAGTATTTACTAAATAAATAACCTAAAATTACTCTGGCATTGCTCTCTGTGGTTCTAAAATCTAAAGGGTATAGGAACTTTCCGCACACTTTATAGAATTTAAACTTCTATAATTTAATCCTTAGTGATTAATCAAAATCGATTAAATAGTTAACGGAAATTAGCTGTCCGCATGAAAAGTAATGACTGCTACATTCTATAAATGTGTTTTAAGTTATTTTGCATTTTTATCTCAAAAGGATTTATTTCCCTTGTGAGATAATATGTGCTTACTTAACTTACGGAATTCACAGTGAGGTCCACGGTACTCAGCGGGACATCCACACACTCCAGGTAGAATGCATGTGCCATTGTTCTGACAAGGCTCTTTGCAGACGGCTGAAACGAAAAGAATGTTGATCAGTAAAGTTCATATTATTACTGCGAGCTATAGGTGACTAGAGATCTTCAATAACTACGCAGATGAGTAGGAAGAAATGAACACTTTATTTAAATAAACAACTGCTCACAGTAAAGTTATAAATAACTCAACAACAGAAAGATGATGCAAATTCTCCTTAACACACCGGAAATATCGCAGATACCTAATATCACTCCCAGAATAATGAGTAATACTAAGCAAGAGTTCAGTATAATTGCGCAATTCTGATCTGACTTAATTCTTTAAACTGATTCTCAGGGCTAAAAAGCGATATATTGGATTGCTATGTACTTCCGAAAGTTTCAGGAAAAGTCGCTCCCAGAGCTTAAAAAATTTGCTCATATTTCTGAAAATTCCAGAATGTCGCTAAGTCTGAGAACTCGCTATATATTGTCACCTTGATGACAAAATTATAATTTAGGTCCATCAAGAGAGTTTTTGCTTAACTTCTACTTGAGCTATTTTCTCAACTTAATTCCTCGATAGATTTAGAATTACAATATCTACAACATAATGTAAGAAATAGACACTTGCAAGAGCAATACGTGGACAAAAGCTCGGTTGAACAAAAATACACTCTAAAATTATAATTTAAAATCACTAATAAACGAATAAAAACAATTCTAACATGATAAAAGTGGAAAATTAAATAAGTACCAATATTTTCATATATTTATAAAAGTGCTGTTGTGTGGGTTTTTTTCTCTCTTCATCAAAATACTTACGTAATATACATCTAACTACTTGTTGTGAAATATAAACATAAAAATACTTGTTGTCTCTTCATCAAAATACTTGTGAGTCCCAGTGTGTCAGTTTAGTAAAGGAACAGCTGAATGCCAATGAAATGTAATGCATTCCTTTTTAACTCATATACGAAAAAAGTATCAAAATATAAAATCAAATTTACTTTAAGTTCTATCAGGGTGCCAAGTAGTCTTTCATTCAGTTAATTCGCTAGTAGATTTTTAAACACAAACTTTATTTTGAAATATATACTTCACAACAGTTCTTTACTTTCTTGCATCATTCGTTTCTTTTTTATTACTCCTTTAGCTAAAGAAACAAAACAGAACATTTACATCATTCGCACGCTGTGAGTCAGCGCCCTCCGTTCAGATAGTTGGCGGTTTCGCCATAATCTCCCCACTTTGAATACATTCGGATTGTATTGAGTATCGCGACAAATCTCTTCGTTGTTTTTTTTAATTAATTAATTAATTTCCCACCTATGAAGATAACTTGCGCAGATTTGATTTTTGCTTTGTCTTCTGCAGAATCTTTACTACTGGGAACAGACTGCAAATCTAACTTTTCTTTTGCTTGATTACCTACTTCTGGAAGGTAGATATTCTGAGTGGCTCTCATCTTATTTCACCGTTTGTTTTTTCTCTTAGACCAGTGTTCCTCAGCTAGATTTACTCCAAGGACCGATAAAATATTTCGGTACTTTCTCGCGGACCGGTAAGTTTACTAACTCAACCCATTGGCACAATTTTTGTACATATAGCTGGATATTTCGCGGACCGGCGGTTGAGAAACACTGCCTCGGACAGCAGGAACGTCTTGATGTTCTCCTTGATACAGGTTTATTATATTTCTTAACTGCAAATTAATACGTTTGCTATTGTCATTCCAAATCAGAACTATTTCTCGTAATTTTACCGGCTTTTAAGCTTTTAAATTAGCTTATAAGGTATTTCTCCTGCCTTCTTAGCATACCTTCGTAGTGTAGTGGTCAGAACGCTCGGTGCCTATTCGAGAGGCCCATGGTTCGAGTCCCGGCGAAGGCGTTGCTCATTTTTTATCTTTCCTGCTTCTAAATAAACATCTCTACAGTGGTGGATCATGATTCGGCGATTGGGTTCTCTAATCCCCAGTCAGCCTTTAAAAGGGGGCGTATATAAGGTATTTCTCCCGCCTTCTTAGCATGTACTGTACTGGTCAGCACGCTGGGCTCGTATTCCAGAGGTTCGTGGTACGATTCCCGACGAGGGTGGTGCTCATTTTTCATCTCTACTGCTTTAAAAAAAATAAACCTAATTACAAGGTTTATTTTTTAAAAGCAGTAGAATCTACAAGCTTAAGTATTTTCATCTCTGAATCTTTTTTTAAATCTTGTGTTTTTTGTTGGTACTGCGAAGGTTTATTCAATTCTCTTCTGCTTGTGCAATAAACTTCAGTAGAACTTTCTACTTTGTCTTTCAGATCTCCAGACGCGAAAGTAATTAGTAACACTGAGTGCGTACCGGAGGGCCCGTGTTTGAGTCACAGAGAAGGCATGAATGTAAACTGTCTGTCCCTGCACAGGAGGCAACGGTGGTCCACCTATTAGGTGCTTCCATAATGAAGAGACCACCGCATTCGGTCTTAAAAGTAATGATTAACGTCTATAATGTCTAGTGCCCGCCATTCAAAAAAAGAAGAAAACATTATCATTCGAAAAATGATTGCAGTTAAAATAATAAAACATTTTACGTCGTCAGATATGTATGATAACGTCTTGAATCGATATTTTCCACTTCATATACTCCAATAATTCTTCATAATTTAAGTTTCACAGCTTAGAATACTCTTCAGCATAATTAAATTTTTGAGAAGTGCAAAATTCGCGGTTTTTTTGATAGCAAGAGAGGGAGAATAGTATGTCATTCGGACTATTCTAGGATCAACTGTGCAGCAGAACTCGTAATTATCTTTATCGGATGTTATTTAGATACCAGTTCTTCTATGTCATAAAATTAATTTTGTTTCTGAACTTATTTATGTTTCCAATTTTTGATTTTCTTAAATAATGTGAATAGGCAGGACATAATTTTATAAAGTGATATTAAATTTATTTAGATGAATGTGTACAATATGACAATCGATTTACAACGTTGAACAAATATGCAGCGTATAATCCTTAAGGAAAAATACAGTTATGTACTATATATAGGTTGTCGCTCATGGAATTTTTGTTTCAGAATTATGCAACATAATTTTACTTACCATCTTTTGGCCCTTTTTTTCACATCACTTTATTCTTCGTACGTGAATTTTTATTTTTGAGGCTATAGTGTCATTTTCTGAGGAATAATGATTAATATATTTCATTACATAATTATCACTTCCATTTTAATAAATATGTGTTTAACCTATAGATAAAAGACAACCGATGTTCACGACTGTTTACTCGGGAAACTGTTACAAATATGGATGATTTTAGGTATTTTTTCTTGGACGGAAATTCGAAAACAGAATGGATGGGTCCAACGATCGGAAAAAAAAAAAAAAAAAAAAAAAAAAAAAAAAAAAAAGAGAGAGAGAGAGAAAGATTTTGTTGAATTAGAGAAAGAAATTGTTGAATAAAAGAGAGAGATATTTGTTACAGACTTTTTTGTCTTTATTATGCTAATGGTTTAGAAAAAAAATCGATGAAAAGCACATTTATGCCATATCAGAGCAGAATTTGGGCGTTGGAAGAGCACCTATTATTTATAAGGGCATTTACACGATGAGAAGCATGTCATTGGTCTTATTACAAAGTGATGAACGGGAAAAAACAAGTTACTAGGACCGGAAATGCTGTATTGTTGACTTTTGAAGGGTTCGGACTGCTTAGGTTCACTTACACATTTCTCGATAAATACATTGCAAAAAAAGCGTGTTTGGCAAAATATGAAGAACGATAAACGACGTAAGTTTAAACAACTGAGAAACTCAGAAAGGTTAGGTAAAAATAAGCATAAGTCTTCTATAAAATGTCAAAATTTACTAAATTTATAGCTTATAAGCAATGAGAGAAATATTAAGATACATAAAGATATAGAGTATCTGTGTAAAATTAACAATAGTATATATATTCACTATAGGGTGATAGTTTTGGAACCAGTATCTGTTCTTATATTACAGTGAACTCTAGTGTTGGTCATCTGCTTAAGACAACATAATACAGCTAAATAAATACTAATAAATAAACTAACACTAACAAATAAGTTTTGCCCAAAATTTATAGCTACTACGCAGAGTGCAGTCCGAAAGATAGGTGAATCATATCATGAAAATAAGATGTAAATTTGTAATTTCAAGTATTAGAGGCTTGGTACTCTTAATATCCATGTAAGTCAAGGACACAGCCAGGACACGGATGAGGCAAAGATAAGTGAGGCACTTTCCTGAGGTGAACAAATAAACGGGCAGCCAAATTAACTAAGAAAATTGAGAAATTCAATTTTAGTTTTCATTCAATTTCCAATGAGAAATTCAATTTTCATAGTTACTCAGCTTTGGAATACATCAAACAATATCAAAAGAATTTCGTATTATAAACAATCTAGATGAATTAAAAAAAAGGATAAGTAACATTAATTTATTCTCAAAAGAAAGTTTTACACTAGCTGCATATATTGTTTTTTACCATTAAAAGATACTGCTTGTTGTAACGACTTGAATAGACTAAATCTGAATAGAAAATCCGTTAGAAAACATAATGCTGTCTTCATTAGTAATTAAGCGCCTGCCAATTCATTTAATTTGAACCATACCTCTTAATGCTATTATCACCACAACAAGCTTCCCAAAGTCCACTGACACGACGACACAACTGTCGACTGTTTGTTGCGTAACAGATCATTGGAATAGTATCGGGAGATCAAACAAGGGTGTTTAAAAATGAAATGTATCGCATTATTAGTTTTTCCCCTATTTTTCTTTTTGAAATTGGAGAAAATTTGCCAATGAACCAACCAGACGTGCTGTTCAAAGTTTTGTCTTCTTGTATCCGTATTTAATTTCCAAGGGAAACTGTACATATGGTTCCACTCAGAGTTATTTCTAAATCAGATGCATTTGCTAGACGAATCGGCACCTTAGCGTACACTGACTACCAATAAGTATTTGGACACCTATGCAAATGACGATATCTGCGGTCCTAAGGTACGTCACGGACTCCGCCGGTATATATCGTGTAGGAAAC